CAACCAAACTGAAACTGTTTTTTGGGCGGCATTTTGAACCTTGCAATACGGATGTGATGTTCATTTGTTGCATTTAACCCAGTTCTACTCCTTAATGTCTTAATAAGGAAGGTCTAGAAGATAATAGAAGCTAGGTCACCTTCGAACAATTTCCGTCAGAGAAGTGTAATAATAGCATAGTGACATCATAGGATTTTGTCCAAAGTTGTAACGTTATAAGAGTATCAAATCATTGACTCAGTGCCATTTTCTGTTTTGAATAATATTGTCTTGGAGTGAATGTATGGGTTTACTGTCAAACTCTGAAAACCTCTAACATATGAATTATTTCAGGAATGTTGATTCTGTAGCGACCATTCACATTACAGACACAAATGCAAACCTCAGGATCCACAAACTTATCATTGTTATCATTATCATTGTTCACAAATTGTGCGAGAAAACTAAACTGCAAACAGCAACAATGATTCATCTCTTTTGGTGGTTACAGTTTTGAGTTTCAAAGTCGTTCCTAGCTAATTGAAATTTATTAATATTAAATGACTTTACCACTTTACTTTCTGTAAGTCATGTTTTCAGATTTTATAACCTTGCAATAATACATAATTGGGGAGCGGGGGCGGCACAGTGGTGAAAGCACTTGTCTTCCACTTGTCTTTATTTTTATGAATACAACCTTCACCCAAAGTAAAGTTAATAAGCTCTTCCATTTTCCCCCTAATCTCACTATCTCTTTGGACCAACACATTAAACCGTTAGCTATGCCCAGTTACTGCCCTATCCTCATGGTTACTTTTTACAGGTAGACCTTATTAGTAGATTTGTCTTTGTCACAATAATTATAGCTATATTTTAGGTTAATGTAACATTCAAACTGACGTGGTCTTACATTTTGAAGTTTATCCATATTGTTGTGATGTAATGTTTTGTTTGATTCTTTTTTTTGGTTCTTTTACCTTTACAATGCTATAATCATTTTTTACTTCATCTGCAGGAATTAGGAAAGGGCAAAATTATATTTTTCCTGAGTTGCTAAAAGCAACAGAGCAGTTCTTCCTAACTGTGCTCGAGGTGTCACTACATACAGAAAAACCTTTTTGGAGGGATATGTGCTATTTTGCTTTTATAAGACAGTAACAACAAGCTGTCAAGCAGTAGCTGAGTTTTGAGCTGTTGATGTAAATAAATGGTGCATTTTGTGGGAAATTTACAGTACATGCCATTTAGGCACCCTCGACGATGGATGTGAGCAACAAAAAATCCATTTGGATACCTTTCATTTTACTTTATGCTCCAAAGAAGTCTTTACTTGGATAAGCCCTGTTGAACTTGTTATCAAAAAAAACTGTTTATTAATATAATATTAAATTATAATAACAAATGGGTGTCACTGGACTTGTTATTGTGGTAGAGCTGTGCCAAGTGTGTGCCAACTGCACTTGTTACGACTGTTGAGTGAGCACTGTGGCAATGTCAGAGTGTCAAGTGGGTGGAAGGTAGAAGACACCTTTGCAAAAACAATCCCATTTTACTTCTATTTTATGGCGATATTTATGCTATCTTCCCCATTTTCATCTGATTTTACTCTCACTGAGTTACATTTTAATGCTATTTTACCTGTCAAGGTGGATAGAATATATAATAACTTATTTCTGTTTTATGTTTATAATTGTGAACCTATTTTTAAGCAAGTTAGGACAGAGTGGTGTATTTTATCTCTGTTTTTTAATCGTTCAGTACTGAAAATACAATAATTATACGAAATTTACGACTCTTTTTGGTAAAGAGTTCACCACACACAGCATCACACGGTCTGCAGCTCAATGGGCTAGCAGATGTGGGGCCGATGACAGCTCTATCAAAAGGGCAGGAAGATGGTATGTGATACAATGTAGATTTCTCTACAATATGTTGCAGTTAAGGAATCTCATATTTTATTTGTAAATAATTATTATTAATTATTAATATGATTAAAATATTTTGATTGAAATAAATGATCTGGCTTATTCACTGTTTAGCTCTATATATATGCTCATTTTTTGTCTTTTCCTTATTTAAAATCAGTAAATTGGCTTAATCAAGTGTTGCATTCAATTTCAGGAAGTGCAACAGTTTTGAGCTCTACACCCAAGATGCCAGAGCTGAAATGATAAAAGAGCATCATGATGGCCAACCAGTCTCTGAGCACAAAATCTGGATAATTTTCAAACCCCTGCGATAATAAATAAAAAAGAAAGTATTTCCCTGAATGTGAACGATCTTGCAATGATTTTCTTCCTTTTGTAAAGCTTTTTTAACCCCACCGGTCAAAAAACCATGAACACCTTGGATTGATTCTGACAGGTCATTATAGTGGAGCACCATGGGTAAGAAAATTTGGTAACCTATGCATCCGATAAATTTTGATAGTTACGTGATCGTACGTCTGCCCAACTGTCGGAACCACAGGCACACCAATAAAAAACAACTCAATCAACAGGTATGGCAACCTAAATGCAACTCAAGGTTTAATTTGGAAGGACCCGGACTTTTAGAGAAGTCATGTCTTTTTCAGCGTTATTTTTGATGTTTACACTTACATGGTTCGCACGGGCCCTGAAAAGTCCTTGAAAAAGCGTCATGTCCTTGAAAAGTCCTTAAATTGAAAAATTGTTGGATATACTTGAAAAGTCCTTGAAGTTTCCACGGAAGTCCTTGAATATTTTTGAAAGCTCCTTGAATAAAAAGAACCTTCATTTAAAAAAAGATTTTGATGTTTTGTGCGAAAGAATGATTGAAAGCAAAACAATACACAAATTTTCCTTGGTGCTCATGAAAGTGTTTTCATATGATTTCGGTTTTCCAGGCATAGTTCATTTTCCGTTATTTGAAGTACCCTTGGAACCATACCTCAATGAAGGAAGGTATTGCAATAAGCAAATCCCCCTCCAGCTGCGCATTTTAAGTCTTTACTTCATGCTTCATGTTATTGGAGAAAAGGAGTCCTTGCAAAGTCCTTTATTTTTTTCCAAAAAATTCTATGTGAACCGCGACTCATGTGGATAACAGAGAAAGAGCAAGGGCGAGTGATTAAAAACAAAGGAGATGAATTTTGTTGGAAGAAATTAAAACATGAAAAATTCATAGAGGCGGTGAGAAAATGGCAAATGCTATTGGCCAGCAAGGTGAAAATAAGCGGCATTGAAAAAACTAAAGCGAACATGAACTCACGAAACAAAATCTTTGGTAAGCACATAGACAATTCCGCAAATTTCTTTTTTCTGCTAATTTGAAAAAAAGTGTGCTGCACATGCAAATTTGTTTTTTTGGCTAATTAGAAAAAAAAAAGTGTGCAAACAATTAATCAGGAATGTTACTATGGTTCTGACCTGTAGAAAGGTCTTTGGGTGGCTTCTGTCAAGAAATGTACAAATATTATTTGTCTTTCACCAAAGAATTTTGCACTGGGAAATTGCAATTAAAGAATTTTTCCTTGTATATGACATATGTGTATAATAATATTACGTATTAATTCTAAAAGGTACCACATCATAGTGTCATAATTTATGCAGACCATATGGAGGGTCCACAGGGCGTCTGCCCAATATACATCTGTAGCACTGGAAATACATTGTTTTGGGGTCAATATTCCTTCCCATGCTCATGCCTCTGGGGGTTGGAGAGAAGAGATTGATTCTGGGAATGACGTTGTGTGTCCAGAATATTTAAAAAACAAACCTGTCCTTCATTTCTGCTGTTACCACTACTTCAAATTAACCATTGTCTTCTCGTGTGGTGCAAGAAAACGTTCTATAAATAAACTAGTAATTTTGGAACACACTGCATATTTACAGTATTGAGCTTTTTGATTTCTCTTTAGTACAGAATCATAGTTGCAAACATTTTCTCCTTAGTTTCTGCATCATTTTTCAGAAATTTGTATATTAGCCTGTTGTTTACCCATCTATAAATGACAGTGATAATGATGAAGATGAGGATGGTGAAATTATCTATCGCCACATCTCCCCCCTCCAACTCCCCCTCCCCACTCCCCCATGGAAAAAAAGGATTTCTTGATCTGCATAAATTTTCACATTTACCTCAGATGACTACTTAAACATACCCTTATAACAACGATAACAATAATGAACAAAGAAATAATATGAAAACAGGAGACAAGTGCTGAAAGGAGTCTGAAGTATCTGTAATGGTAAAAGTTGGAAAAAATGTAACTACGTTCATAGTCCAGAGGCGCTGCTCTCCAAGGTAGCCCCAGCAGCAGAGCACTTATTCTTTGCGAGACGATCTCAAGGTCATTTGTGATGTCACTTCCCTTGGTTCAGATGATGCATCCTCCTCACTTGATTCTTCACGTATTGCCCCGAAGTTGAGAAGGGCGTGGCAGTGGACAATTCTTGTGGAATGTCTTCTCCAAGTTCTGTACAGGACTCTGGGCAAGGAACGCCGCAATTGAAACAGACTGGCATGTTGTTAAACCAGGGCATAGTGCAAGGCTCGTTGACGGAGAAGGCGCAGTTTTCTTTAGGGTGTGCTGGATCTTTTCTCCACCATTGATCTTGGCACCACTCAATCATTCTCTTTGTCGGTCTATCCCCTGGTTTCCATCCCTATGTTGCCGTCTTAACTTCTGCTTCTTCCATTCTTGCTTTCAAATGGTCGAAGGGTCTTGCCTCCAAACAGCTTGCAGACGAAATTTGCAACAACTTGGTACATTTTCTAGGTGAATTTTAACCTTGCAATTCTCCGTCTCTCGACCTTGAACCCCAACATTAAAATGAACTGCCAGACAGCTATATCTTACAGAGGTATGAGAAACGACAATAAATTTGAACAAGGCATGATCTGAGCGAGCAAACAGCCATGACGAGTGACGATTGATCACACGTTACTTCAGGTCTCTGGGGAGAAGGCCCTGGGAATTATTAACCACACTGCAACCACACTGCGTATGCGCAAAATGCTTGATTGATCCCGTCACAGCGGCAGTTCTTCATTGCAAAGTGGCGTCTTCCTCATCCACGTGTAGTGTGTCAACGCAAACGATCGCTTCAAAGGTAAAACATGTACCTCCTCTCTTTTCTGATCTCTTTGATCTGGCAATTTATTCCTTCGGTTGCCAGAGCAGTTTGCACTCTCACCATAAAGTTCGTGGCAATCCAGTGCTGGAAGGAGTCTCGGTGATTCTGGACAGAATGGTGCTGACGAGCAACCCAGAGACCAATGCAGCGTTTGAAGAAATAACACCTACAAGGCTAGGTAACTGATTATTTTTACATTTGCTTTATTTAGCGCCTGTTTACATGGAGGTGGGGGACCCTAGGTAAGTGAAGTAACCCTCTTAGCTGGGGTAACCCGCCTTTCCATATAATCTCTCATTTTAAGTTCATTGCATTTACATGATAAGTGGGGTGACCCGCCAAGCTAACCCTCCCAGCCGGGGTCAAATTTTGCCATGTAAACGTTTCAAGGTGGGGTAACCCAGCTAGCCGGGGTCGGATTTGTGATACATCAAATTCTCACAAAATTCACTTTGGTGGTGGCTTTGCATAATTATTAAAGGTAGCAATACAAAGCCACAGCACTGAAGGTTGTAACAAGAGCAGCAAGTGAGTGTAGAAGAGCATTAATCACCAAAAGACATGGTTTGCCAGTATTTTTATTGTTTACGTGCTTAGCGACCAATCAATAATCTTGAGAAAGTGCACCCCGCGATGGCGGGGTTGTAAGATTGCATGTAAAGGAGGGTTAATATTTAACCCCACCTAAGTGGGTTACCTTACCTACCTGGGGTCCCCCACCTCCATGTCAACATGCCCTTAGGGACAGTTTGGTTGAAACCTGGAAGGCTTTCCATGGTTCACTTTTGCCCCACGTGAGCAAAAAAAAAGAAAATGACTTGCGTGTCAACGCGGATAACTGTCATCGGGTGTCATAGCTTTGTCCAGGTTTAGGGTTAGTACCTATTTAAAGTTGCGAGAAGTTAAACAATAAAAACAAAGTCTGTCAGACTTGCAGCGAAACCCTACAGAAATCAAAGCAAAATTGGGCTAAACCCCAGAATACTCAGCCAGTTATAAATCCTCACTGAATCTGTGCATACACGCACATGCTATTTCTCATTCTTTAAGCCATAGAAGCAGGACAAGTGCGCTGTAAATGCACACATGTAGAGTATTTCTCTTTCTTTGAGCCATGAGCAAATCAACAGCGCACAACCACTGCAGGACCGCGGACCGGATTAGTAACTGATTAAACCAGGACTTCGCGACTGAAGACGACGGTAGCATTTCATTTCCAAACTTATATCAACATCAACTCCACGAGTTTGGGACTACGGATCACGTTAACAGCACACTTTTATCCTTGTCTGAACCCCATTAAACACCTGTGGATCGCGGACCATGGTCTTAAATCTAAAGGCTCAAAGTTGCTGGGTATTCTGAAGTTGCTTGCAATTTTCTCTAATATATCCGCTGGTAGTGCGTGCTTGAAAGACATAATGTTCCAGTACATTGCCCAAAATTACAACACAGCACTCAGTAAGATAAAAATTATTGACCTAACTGGACAGAAACAGGAAGCTGTAAAATCGTTGAAGCCTAGGAAAAGCCTTGTGAACAACCCACTTATTAATTTCAAGAGACCTAGTGACCTACAGCTTACATTTTTATGTGTCTGTTTTATTTTTGCTTGTTTCTTGCCGCCACAGTTGCTGCCGGGTTAGAGTTTCTTTACCCTTCATGATGCAGAGTAATAATAATTATTGATGTGAGCATGATCAAGAGCTTCCCTTGTTTCTGACGTGTCCATTAGGTGTACATACACATTTTAATACTTACTTCATTGCCTGTAGGTAACTGGAGACCAGGGGAGATTCCCACAAAGGAACTTCTGACCCTTATCTCTTCGTGGATAAAAACGCAGAAGAAGGGAATCATCAGGAAAGCTGAAAATCCTCAAGTGCTTTCACTGGTACTTGAGGAAAAGCAGTCCTACTCTGAGGAGGAAGATCGCGTGAGATATAAATATTTCCCAAGAGGTTGGAGATGTGGTCAACACTACCAGTTTTGTGTAAAGAGTGTAAAGATCGGACCAGAAGTTTGGATAGAAGAATGGATTTATTCTATCGTGTCTAAACCTTTAAGTACAAAACTGTAACCTGATATAAACGGTGTGATTGATTGGTGAATTAAGTAAACTACCTTTGACAACTACATAATTACATAACAATCATGACATCCCCCTTTTCATATAACAGTTGAATACATGTTGTATATATATGGTATACGACTATGAAGTTTATAATATTGTATAATTATGTGTTCATACAAAGTCCTTAAATCGGATCGGTCTGATCACTTGTCGACCGGATCGTGTGTATATTGGAGCGGGTGTTGGCTCTGACTCCTCACCGTAGGTGGAGTGTGGGTCAGTGAAGTGTTGATCTTGTTCTACGGATGTGTTTGTTGAAGGCTGAGCGATGCCGATGTCTGGAGATGGAGTAAACTCCTCTTTGGTGCTTAGTAGGTCACGCCTGTTCCTGCGAAGTCTGTGTCCGCTTTCAGTTTCGACGGTGTAGGACCGAGGTGGATATTCAAGTGGTTCAATGACTTTGCCTTTGGTAGCCCATGAGGTTCCATTCTGGATTCTGACAGTATCGTGTGCACTTAGGCTTGGTAGGGACTTTGCACCTTGATTGTAGTATGCTGATGAATAGTTAGGGGCTTTGACGCAGTATGGCTTTGCAGATGGTAGTAAGGTTTTTGGGTTCCGTTGCATGAGCTTGAAAGCTGGTGAAGGACCACCATCCACTGTAGGAGATGTGCGAAAATTGAGGAGCGCCAAATATGGGTCTTCACCATCTTCAATGCCCAGGTGGCCTGCGTGTATTTTTGTACCCATTTCTTGGCGCATTGTAGAAGGAATGATGATGCGCTCGTTTCGCAGAAGCAGACCATTTGCAGGAGTGATTTCATCGCAATATTTGTAGTATGGATGTACAAGAGAATCAACATCTTTCTTCTCCTGGGGCCATCCGTTCTCTGTATACTCGCGGAGTTCTCTAAAGCAGGATCGCGTCAGGTTTCGCGCTGAAACTCAAGAAGCCTGTCATCACTAATCGGAAGATTCGATATTACGAAATGAACATAGGGTGTCATGTCAGAGGTGTCAATCTCAGGTGTTGATGTGTTACTGAGATATGCACGACTTAGCGTGTCTGTGACCACCATGTCCTTTCCGGGAATGTAGTTCATTGTGAACTGGTACTTCTGTAAGGGAAGTAGGAATCGTTGAATTCAAGGAGGAGATTTGAGCACTGGTTTTTGAAAGATATCTTTCAAAGGCTTGTGGTTGTTTTCGACTAAGAAACACTGACTGTAGAGAAAATCATTGAAATGCTCGCAGGCAAAAACTATACTGAGAATCTCCTTTTCAATTTGGTCATAGTTGGTTTCCGACGAGGTCATTAATCGACTTGCAAATGCGACTACCACTTTTGCTCGCGTCAGATGATACCTTGATTGGCAGTTTTGGGTCAAAGTACTTGAGGACCGGGGCGTTGGTTATTATCAATTTCAATTCTTGGAATGCCTGTTGCTGTGGAGTATCAAAAGACCATACTATGTCTTTTTCCAACAATACTCTAAGCGGAGCAGAAACCTCTGAAAGGTTGGGCACAAATTTTCCAAGGTATGTGACCATGCCGAGAAATCTCTGAAGGTCGGACCTATTCTCCGGGGCGGGCATGCTGAGAATTGCTGATACTTTCTGTGGATCAGCTTTTACGCCTTCAGAGGTCAAGAGTTGACCGAGATACGTTATTTGGTTAGATCCAAAAATACACTTCGATCTATTCAATTTATAACCGGAAAAGCGAATCCTTGAGAGAACATTCTTGAGCCGCCGATCATGGTTATCTTTTGTGTCGCCCCAGACCACAATGTCATCTTGTGCGTTTGCACATCCCTCTAATCCCTCTAAGATTTCTGTCACTTCGGCTTGAAAGATTTCCGATGCGCAATTAACGCCAAACGGAAGACGCTTAAATTTGTAGCGACCGAACGGTGTGTGAAAGGCGTGCAGTTTTGAACTTTCTTTGTCAAGCTTTAATTGCCAGTAACCCAAAGATGCATCTAATTTTGAGAAGTACTTCGTGCCGGCCATTTGAGAAAGAATATCTTTGGCAGTGGGTAGCTTGTAGTGTTGCCTCTTTATCGCTTGATTGAGATCTCGAGGGTCAAGGCACACGCAGTTTTCCATTAGGTTTCTCAACGATCACGAGATTAGAAACCCAATCAGTGGGCCCGTCAACCTTATCTATAATGCCGAGGCGCATCATGCGGTCAAGCTCATCTTTCAATTTCTCACGCAAGGCAAAGGGAACTTTCCTAGGCGCTTGTATAACAGGGGAGAAATTCCCATCTATGGTTAGGTGATGAACTTTAGATAAACTACCTATTTCACCAAAGCAATCGCTATACTCATTAATTAAACTAGAGTACTCACAATCTACAGTCATTACACGATTAATGAGGTTGAGTTTCTTGCAAGTGTTCAGTCCTAGGAGTGGGACAGAATCCATTTCTGCCACAATCAACAGAACTTTGTATTCTTGATATCCGTTCTTCAGAGTGACGATGCACTTGCTGACGACTGGTATGTCGGTGCCATTGTAGGCGTTGAGCTTCACTTTTGCTGGATGTAGCTTAGGTTTGTGGATGAGTTTAGTGTATTCCTTTTTTGAAAGAATATTAACTTGACTGCCTGTGTCAAGTTTCTAGTTAATGTTGGTTCCATTTGATTCCAAAATGACAGACCATTCCAGTACCTCATCTTCTGCGTTGTTTGAGTGTAGAGTCGTTTCGTTGACATCTTTCTCTTCCCCTAGGCTTTCCACAGTTATCGCACTGACAGAATTCTCCCATTCATCCTCTCTGAGGTCGGGGTGGCGAGTCATTTCACAAATCGGCCTGTTGCATGCTTGTTGAGGGTTGGATCTGCGTTGTTTTTTAGGGCAGCATTGTGCGAAATGATTTGGAACACCACAATCGTTGCATAGCTTTCCGTATGCTGGGCAATTTCCACGATTATGTCCACGACCGCAAAATTTCCAGTTAGGAAAGTACTCTGGTGTCACGCCTTTGTTTGCCTTGGGTATCGCCCCTTGGCCGACCATATCGACTGGAGCAGGTTTCCAGGCATGTTTGAGTTCTTCAGCATGTTTTCTCGATTTCTCAGCAGCGCCACCAAGTAAAATGGCCTTCTCCAACTTGAGATCTGTTTCTCGTAGGTAATGCTCACGAAGTTTGTTGTCAGTCGTTCCGCACACAATCCTATCAGTGATCAGGGAGTCTTTCAGGCTGGCAAAAGTGCATTCCTCAGCACGTTTCATCAGTTCAGTAACGAAATCATCAAAAGGCTGTCCATCTTGTTGGTTGTAAGAGAAGAATTGATAACGTAGAAAGGTTGTGTTCTTTCAAGGATTGCAGTACGCTGTGAATTTACTTAGGATCGGGCTGACTTTGATCTTGTCTTCCTCGGTCTGGAAGGTGAAGGTGTTGTAAATTTCATGAGCCCTTTTTCCAATACAAGTGAGTAGGATAGATGATTTAACTTTTTCGGATTTTCCATTACTCTCAGTGGCTGCTAGGTATAACTCAACTCTTGTTTCCGTCTTCTCGAGTTTTCTCGTACGTTTCCTTCAAAAGAGAGTGGTTCTGGAGGGTCTAATTTATCCATTTTAGAGAGATCCCACGTCTGACACCATGTAAAGATCAGACCAGAAGTTTGGATAGAAGAATGGATTTATTCTATTGTGTCTAAACCTTTAAGTACAAAACTGTAACCTGATATAAACGGTGTGATTCATTGGTTAATTAAGTAAACTACCTTTGACAACTACATAATTACATAGCAATCATGACAAAGAGGAAGAAAATTTTTACCAATGTTGGAAATGTCACCATGGAGTAAGTATGTTTTATTTTAGGTGTTACCAGCATGAGCATATAGCCCAGAAGCGTATAACTCTGTTCCATTGCTTGGGTTTTTTTGGACAACGAATCAATATTTACTTACTGCTTGAGGAACTGATGTTCGCTGAAGCTGGGGTTGGTAAAGTAGCTGGACAGCTTGAAGAACTGATGCTGGCTGAAGCTGGGGTTGGTAAAGTAGCTGGACAGCTGGAAGAACTGATGCTGGCTGAAGCTGGGGTTGGTAAAGTAGCTGGACAGCTTGAAGAACAGATGCTGGCTGAAGCTGGGGTTGGTGAAGTAGCTACACTGCTTGTAGAAGAAGGGATGGTGCTGGCACTATTGGCCACCATTAAAATGAAAACAGAAGACCAATAGGCCACTTGCCTTGCTGCATGAAGTGCAGGGCCAACGTCACTTCCTGGATGGTAATCCTCAATTTGCTGAGAGATGTTTGACACTAAGTTAACCAGATTACTTGGTGCAACTGGTCCTTGACAAGGTGTTGAGCAATCTTGAATGGCCACACAGTCTTGGTGCAATGCAAGACAACATTTTTCTGCATCTTGTACTATTTGTGTTGCAGAAGGAATTGGGTCGGATAAAACATTGCAAATCTCATCTCAGGATTTCAATGTCTCCAATACCATGCAAAGATCTGTCTCCTAGGAAAGAAAAAACAAATTTAAATACTGAAAAACTGCTTCACACAAGCAGTTACATGATGTATTTGTTGCAGTTTAGCATAGAAGCTGAAAAGGTCTATTAAGATCGCATTTGCTTCTTCACATGTTTGGCCAATAAACTGTGTTTCAGACTTTTGTCCAGTGGTTTCTTTTTTTGATACAGTGTATAAGCAGATAAAGCTTGGAATAACAAATCGTCAGCACAACTTGGGAAAAAAATAACCAACACCGAAAAAAGAACTCAAAATTCTCAGAAACGGTTTTTTAGAAAATTTATCTCAAATTTAGTTGGCCAAATTTCAGCCACATTGGTTCACAGGCAATAGATATTTTGCAGCGTCTTGCCTGAATCAAGATTATGTCCCGCGTCGTGTTTTACTTTCAGTTTACAACTCATTAATTGTCCCTTACTGGACTTATGGTATTTGTGGTTGGGGAAACTGTGCTTTGACATTTCAAAGAAGATCGTAACTCTTCAAAAACGGGCCTTACATCTCATTTACTTCAGTAAGTCTAAGGAACACACCGTACCCTTCTTTCTCAAATCAAATTGCGTTCCCATGCCTAGTCTATTTTTCAGAGATTGTAGCTATTTATTGTATGATATCAACAGACAGACAGCACCAGTTAATATACTCAATCAATTCATTAAAACAAGTCAGATTCATAACTACAGAACAAGATCTGTCTCTAGCGACGTGTTTTATGTTAAGTTCTCTAGAACTGATAAAATGTATGCCTTTTTCACGAGAATCGGTGCCCAGATTTGGAACTCTATTCCTTATTTGATTAAAATACTTAAACGTTCGTCCTTTCGTAAAAAAATAAAGGAATTATTACTAAATTTCTTGTGGTCAGAAGATGATTATGTCGAAGTCTCCGGTCTTATTAGGTTCTTTAATACTTTAGGTTACCCTCTCTTCGTATCATTATTTACCTGCCTTGTTTTATGTTAGTTTAAATTCTAATTACTGTATAGTAGTGTCTACACTGTTATTTAGTCCATCTATATATAAATCTTGTTTTGTAATATGTTTTCAACTCCCGCCTGCCTCGATTAGTTTATAAGCTATTTGCGGGTGGGAAAGTAATGTAATTAGTTATTTTCCAATTTTCAATAATGTTGTTGTTGTTGTTGATATCAGAAACAGAGTCGCGTTAAACACAGACAAATGTAAGGAGCTCCGCATTAGTTTGACATCAGTTTGTGACTTTCCTCCAGTAGTCATAGGAGAGGAGTGCATCAAATTAGCTAAAGATGCTAAACTTTTAGGTGTTACTATCTCTGGTGACTTCACATGGAATGTGCACATCACAGAAGTTACTAAGACGGCAGCTAAGAGGCCCTATTTTCTTGTTCAGCTAAAAAGAGCTCGTGTTCTACAGAAAGATTTATGCCTTTTTTACATTATATGCGTGTGCTCCGTCATTGACTTTGCTGCGCCAGTTTTCTATCACCCGCTGCTAGCCTACCATTAGAATGCATTCAGAAAAGAGCAATGCGAATCATATGTCCTAGTATAGAATATCAGGAAGCTTAAGCACTTTTCAACGGTTGCGGAGCATCACCACAACATTTGCACGCGCACGTTTGAAAGCATAATGAGCGACCCGAACCACAAGTTAAGAAAGTTGTTGCCGCCTCTTTATAAGAGCAACTATAATCTAAGGCATGAGTGCACTTTCATTTTGCCGCGTTCCAAGACAAATAGATTTAAGAACAGTTTTTTAATGGATTCAGGTAGAATTGTAAATAATTTTTAGGTTTCGCTATTACAATTATTACTCATTTTTACAATTATGAGTATGAATTATTACCATTATGTAAATACGCAATTCAGTTTATGCTGCAATGTATTTAATAAAGTACCTACCTGCCTACAATTATAAAATTAAATTCTGTATTCCTGCATGCACAATGAGTAGGACAAGTAATAATTTTTGGACACATCATGTTCATAGACTATCTTTTAGCCTTTTCGTGTGAACACCTTCATAACAGACAAGAAAACCCTCGTAATATGATAATCAAGAAAATTGAGCTGCCAGAATTATTTCATAACCCACTCATGCACGTGTTAATTACGCATACTGACAAATCTGGTTGGAAATGAATCTGATATAGATGGCTGTTCGATTCAGTACTCCAATAACCAGTTCATGCAAAAATAAAATATATTTGGGAACGGTGCTCCTGGATTTTCGGTCATAAATATACATAAACGTTACACCTTGCTATGGCATTTCTGTGGTCAGTAGAGCAGATGATTGTTAAGTCTAACAACTCTCCCGAACCGAGTCTTCGCTGCCAGGAGAAACGTGGCCGAGCTTCCAATCTCTCTTTGAATAAGCAATTCTTTCCAACCATGATCTTCAACATCTTCATCGCTGCTTTCATCAAACTCGGCGTCTCTCTGGTCTTCTTCCGCATTGTTTTGGTTGGCATCTTCTACCCTGTTGACACGTTCATCAAACGCAATAGATACAGGACGTTCCATCTTGATATAACTGTTCCAGAACTTGAAAAGCTGAGAATGAGACTCAGACTGAAACTGTTGAAATAGATGGTGGAGGTTCTCGGTGGAATCACAGAGACCATCAAACACATTCTTCACTTGCCCTGCACTTATGGCGGCCTTACACTTAATCAGGTTAGTTTGCACTTGATCCAAACGTGTCAGTGTTTGCATTCTCTAACCAGCGGCAAAATGCTTTCCACTACAATATCAAAAGAACTTCCATGATGAGTTTGTCCACACGCAAACCACGACTTTCCTTTTAGCAGGGCTGTCGTTGAGGTGGTGCCATACAATCCAGACTCCATGAGCAAATCCGCAATGCCGCTTTCCTCGAATTTTTTGCCAACCACAGACAAATAATGAAGAGCTATTTGGAAGCCACCCATGCGGATAACCAGGTGCTTAAATTCATCGGGACGTCGCCATTGTATTTCTTTCGCCTTGGTGTATTTGGTCAGATTAAATGTTACAACACTTTTGGTTTGTCCGAGTATTGCACTTATATCCTGTATGGTTTTCATGACAGTGTACATGGTGCTGTATTCGCTGGCGGATCCTGCTATCCCAGGGCAATAGCCCAGGTTTGTGCATTGTGCAGTAACAAGTGAAACAGCGGCGTTAAATGCACTCCAACTAGTAATGGTTTGCTGACCGTTCTCGGCATCACTGGAAAAGAAGAGAGTTGTGTTTGTTTAACCTCAGCAAAAACCAAGCAAAGTCTTTCCTTTCAATGGCGGGGCTCAAAAGAAGAGCCAATGTTTTGTACCTTTCCAAGTATTGATGTTACAGTGTGCCTTCGCCCATTCACCCTAAAGTCATGAATGGTTTGGGTGGAAAGTGGTGTGTCAAGGGATCTTCTTTTCAATGAGTGATCGGCCAGCGACTGGGGAGAGAGCTCGGGCCCAAAACCTTTTCTCTGATATGCTATCCTAGTTGTTGCATATGTGGTATGCTTTCCATCGAGAGTGTCCTCATTGAAGTCATTGTTGTCTGTGGCAAATTGCACAAACACACCAGGGGATAGGTTTGACGGAACGATAACACCATGTTGTTCTGACTGTGCACTTATTTCTCTTGGTAGACTGGTTGTTATTAATTCGACATCATTATAAGAGCAGCAATGGCCGATTTTGTTCAACAAGATAACAAGATAACAACGGAGCCCGTGAGATGATGATCAGTAATGCCAAGTCTAACATGCTTAGGAGTTCTGATGCGACAGCGTGTTGATGTGTATACCATATCCTGACCTAACATAAAAACTCTCCTTTCATCATCTTCATTAAAGCAGCGAGTTGTTTCATTGACATCCTCATGATGATCCCATTGCAAAACAAACCAGCAAAGAAAACTGTACAAGCTATCAGGAATAACTTGCCTTCCCAATTTTAATGAAATGTCGTCAACTGATAAAAGGTTGCATGCAAATTCCTGTGCTCCGTTTTACGTCCGTTTTTAATATCTGTGCTGCCTGGAAGAGAATTTTTATCTTAGCAGCCTCTGTATCTTTAACCTCTTCAGGGGGACAGCAAAAGTATTCCTCAGCATCCAAATTTGAGAAAATAGCTGCAGCGTTGATAATACCTTGCACAGAAATGCTGCTTGAGTAAATTAGTTCTGATTTAGATGGATCTCACTGCTTATCAAAGACCACGGAATCAGAAAAGTGGTTAATCAATCTTTTCTTTAGTTTATCGTTTCGGTATGACTGAGACAAACTACTGTTTGAAGAAAGTATTTCTTTATATCGTTCAAGCAAGTGGCTAATTTCGTGAACCTTGCCAGCTGTCATGTCACTATCGATTTCTGTTAAAAGTTCTTTGAACGACTTGTCATAAATACACTCTTCATTTGGGTTTTCTTCTTTGAATACTTGATGTTTTATGTTTGATTTACTTACATAACTTGCTCGACAAGCGCTATGATATTTCACTTCTGCGGCAATGACATCAAGGCCTCGGATATTTGTTAGCAGACCAGTATCACTTCTTGCTTCTGCTGTGGAAATTATGGTTTGACAGGCATCAAAACTTGACACATGAGTGAGGGTTTTAACACCTTTATGCTTGGATTTTTGACAAAAGATGGACAAAGACCAGTTGATTTTTGATGTCTTAGATCTAGATAAACGGCTCTCTTCAAGAGGCTTATTTTCATACAATTCTGCAGTCTTCGCTCTTTTAGTAGGTAATAACCCAGCCGGTTCTTCTTTATCATCATTGGTACTAGCCATATCTGCGACTAAAATAAAATTTATTAAATTTCTACGTGAAAACTATACAGTTCTTAACATTACTTTACGAATACATGATGCTATGAAAAAAAGCATATCCTAAAGAATGTCAGCCGTCAAAATGTATTTTTCCCCCACAGTAAAGGTAATATCTTATTACTTGATCATATCAAACTCTTTCCGCTTCGCGACGAACATTTGTTTTTCCCGGTTCCAGGCGGATGTGGCCGCTCACGGCACGTAATGCGCATACTCAACGCAGCTGATTTTCAAAATGGTGGGGCAGGCCAAAGAGAGAAATAAAAGAACCAAAGTGGTTTTACAACGAATTCTCGGCATACACCCCGTTAAAAAGGCTAATCTACAGAGAAAAGATACAAAGCTGTACGATATTGAAGTTACGGAGGTTGATAAAGCCAACAAAAGATTAAAAATCCACTACGTTGGATACAGCTCACGCTTCAATGAGTGGAGACCTTTCGGGGACGATGAAGGATCTGAATATTTCCCGTTTGTTCGTAAAGAAAAGCTGTTTATTCCATCGGAAAATTCCCTTGTGGATAGAACACAAACATTTCACAATCAACTTTTTCATGAAATGAAGAAAAAGTTTGCTCTGGGCGGCGAGAGGACCCTGAAATCAGCATAGACCTCAATGTTGATAAGGCTGTTTTTATGGAAGGTCTCGCAAGTGTTTTGCCTGGCATTATCCAAAGAGGAAAAATGGTTTACCAAGTAAAGTCAAATAGGATGCTTAATCCCTTTCTTGGAATGAAGTGGGACGAAAGAATTTTAAATCCAGCCGAAGATTTTGCCTATGTAATTTCAGGAACAATAAAGTATTGGCTGGGACAAAGAAATCCATTTACCGAATACCAAATCATTGGGGAGCAGTATATTAAATCTGAAATTGAAAACAGCTATTTTATTACATTTCAGTTTGTGAGAGGTGACGGTAACAGGAACAACTACCAAGCAAACATGTCAAATATCAAGCCATTGTTTTGTAACTGTGCCATGGAACTAATTCTGGATTTTTAGTCATGGCCAAATCATTTAATACTTGTAGCATCTTGTAACTATCAACCTGTTTATGTTTGTCAGACTGGAACTTTTTATGATTGCCTTGTTGATGTTTTTGGTTAAGATTTCAACAGTTAAGTACAATGTTAGTGACGCTGGCATCTGGGCATCCATTTGCCATCTTCCTTCACAAGATGTGCACAGCAAATTGCAGCTGTACAATGTTTACACGGTGATGTGCATGTCTTAATGCTGTGGCCTTGTTTTGAACAGTTACTACATTCATAATTGTTCTTAGCCCTTTCATAGCCTGCTGCTTCCAAGAACTGAATCCTGTTTTTCTTCAGAAAGAGTTGTTTAAGTGCATCAATTCCTTTGTGATTTGTGGATCTGAAAAAGTCTTTAGAAGCTCTATCGTTGTGTTTTTCCAAACCTTGTTGAGTGTAATATGCAATGTTTTGATGCAGTGACAGGAATTCAGGAACATGGCAATGTAGTGCATGCATGTAAGGGGTCACATCTTTTGCTTGGTACACATTGAGAAAGATTCCAAACCATGATTTGATATCTCCTTGCAGTTGAAGAATTTCATCCTCCGATGTAAAATCTAGTTTCAAATCACCAATTAACTCCATAAATTTTTGCCACATCACTTGTATTTCTCAGGGGCACCCAACGACCGTTTTCTGGGAAATGATCTGAAATGGCTCGTTATGCATCCTGAAGTGCTTTAAAAGCAAGATAAATGAATAATTCGCATCGCTAAAAAAATTTGATGTGTTCGGTCGTCCTAGGAGTGGTTTGAACCTCTCGAATTTTTTAGGGCTGTTTTTCGCCTTTCCCGAAAATATTAGCCTACAGTGAAAGCTTTCCGAAAACGTAAGATAACCTGACGAGCTTTTCCCTTGACCGAAATTTTTAGGGGTCCTTTCAAGTTTTCTCCGAAAACTTTATGTAGTCTGAGAATGTCTCCGAATTTTCTAGGGCGACGTAGAATGTATAGAAAATTCTAGGTGTAAAAGAAAAGGCATTTAAGTGATTTTAAAGCCAGTTGAAACGTCTAATGAATGTATAGAAAATTCTAGGTATAAAACAAAAGGCATTTAAGTGATTTTAAAGCCAGTTGAAACGTCTTGTACCTGCCGAACTCAATTCGCACAGCACTTGCGGAAAAATCTGAAATACGGCATGGCACTGACTGATTATAACGCACATTGAACGCAGTCAGCTAAGGCAGTTGGCAGAGTTGGGATCAGTTGGGATGGCCCAGGGCACGGCTCAGTGTTCATTTCTTCAGTGTTCTGTTCTGTTTTTTTTTGTGTTCGTTCCCAAGGGGTCAAGGGTAAGATGCTCTGGGTGCTAAGGTAATAGGAGAGGACAGCTGATGGGGGGAAGCTGAAGAATAGGCAGAATAGATCCAGTAGGCAGACAGGCAGAACGCAGGATGGGATAGTAAAGATCAGAAAGATCAGAAGATTACGCATTTTATAACAGTTCTTTGAACAGTTTAAAGAACTGTTTAATCGGGTACTTTTTCCTGTATTTCGGCGTCAGTGTGTCCCTAATTTGGTAAGAAAAAACTCAGAACACTGGAATAACCAAGATTCCGGAGTCTGGAGATTCCTCCAAGTATAGATAATAATTTACAATTATCTGAATTATTAGGTGAATTATCAGCTGACGATTACAGTAAATTATCAGGCTGAATTATTCCTGTTATAACATGACTGACACGAGTGCGTGTTGGGTGTGGTTGGGTTGGCTATGAGTCTGACGAGTCTGCTGATGAGTTGGCTATAATGAATGTGTCTCAGGTGTCTGATGGGTTCATCTTTCTTCAGCTGTTTCTTTTTCTAAAAGTTGCAAGGCTGCAGTGAGACTTCTGAGACTGATTGTGTTTTTTTCCTTGTTTATCATCAGCTGTGTCATATTCGTTTTGCAGTGAAAGTTAAGGTACACAGCAATCCGAACAAAGGTTCGAAAGGTTCAGCAGGTGCATACGATTTCGCGACTGCAAAGCCGCAGTCAGTGAACGAGTGAACACTGAATGCAGCAAGACGCTGAAGATGGGCAATTGAAAACAATGGATATTCAAGTTGGGGTGAAAATTGAATAAAAAGAATAAAGTGGATATACTACTGCTAAGTCAATGGTTGGTCTGCCATTTTTCAAGGGCACTTTTCTGTGGTCGCAGTGCGAACACAAGGTCTATCTACTGTTTTTCACATGTACTGTTCAGACTGTTGCCTATTTTACTTATGGCATTTACTTTACATTATATTTTACCTGAGTGGAAAACCTAATTTTTCTCATTTGCTGTTGCTACTATCATTGGGATGGGAAGCGGGCTATGTATGAAAAAAAAACCCGTAGCACACTAAAAAATACCGTATTTATTCGAATAAGTGCCCAACCTCGAATTAGCGCCCACCTCGAATAAGCACCCATCCTAGAGGCAGAAAAAGTTAATAAACACCCAGCCTCGAATAAGCACCCACCCCTCCTCACGGCCCTGCCCTTTCCACTCAAACTAAAATAAGTGCCCACCCCTACCCCCCTTACTCCTCCGACACACACACAAAATTGAACAAGTACTAAGGGACTTCCCCGCAGACGGAGTTTTCTTCAGAGTATTTTACAGAAAGCTTGCATTATTACCTCTTCTCGTTTTGTTGTTACTATTTATTGTTTTGTTGCAAAATAAACATACTGCACTAAGCGCCCAGCCTTCAATAAACACCCACCTCGAATAGGCGTCCACTCTCAAGGTCCAAAAATTTTTTAATAATCGAATAAATATAGTAATCATAAAAGCCATATGTCGGTCCACTAAAAGGTAGTTTTTCAGGTTTGTAATCCTTTTAAAACCGTTAAATTTTACTGGTTTTACAAGCACCTGAACAGGGGTAGGAGTCCTTACTATGAAGGCCTATACCAAGAATACAAGGAGGCTCTTCCCGAAAGGAGTACTCGTAACTTTTGGTGTCCTAAGTATCTTTAAAATTTGGATTGAAGAATAGAGACTGCAAGATGCGAAAGGACTATTATCTTTCAATGGAAGGAATACAAAAGGTAACTTTTCAGGCTGACTTCAGGCCAAAGTCCTGAGGTCTAATCTACTAAGGTGTTGAACTTCGGGCAGAGCCTTCTTGTTTAAGACTTTGTAGAGTAGCTGTCTATACCTCCCCACGCTGGGAACCCAATTCGTATTAACCACTGAAAACAAATGTTAAGTAAATCATTTTTGCTGTTTTATTCAAGTTTTGTTAATTTCTCGAGTCTCTTTTTTAACTGCAACAAACTGAACATAGTTTCATGAAACTGAATCAACACTAGTTAAGTTTTCTTTGTTCAACTGCTTTTTCTTGTAGTCTAATTGTGTTTCTAGGAACTGGGCAGCTGGACCATGGTCAGACCCAAAACCTTTTGGAAATGAAATAGGCTTTTTCTGTGAGATTTTGCTGAAAAAACCATCTCCTTTTTGCATAATATTTAGGATTTGACTGATCTGGATGGTTAGTTTTGATTAAAAGTGACATTCTCATTACGATGGGAATGGGCTAGCCGGTCAGTTCTGACAAATGCAAAGCACCCTAATTTTAATATAAATCATATTGAAAAAGTCAATACCATGCATTCAGCTGGAAATCAAAAGTATAACTTTTTTAAGCCCAAAATTTTGGTTTTTTTCTTTTGCTGTTGTTTTTGTTTTTTGTTTTAATTTGTTACGAGAATTTGATAAAAGATCAAAAGGCCTATTCTAAAAGGTTACGACCATATTTCCGTGAAACACTCTACCATGCAGACTATCTGCCACCATGTTAAAACATGCTGTTAATTGAACCCAAGATGGTTTATTAATCTTGACATTTTGCATTGATTTCGAGTCTTTGGGCAGAGTGCTCAAGGAAATACAGTAGTAACCATCTGGATAATGCAAAATTTCATTAATTTATTGAAATTTTGCATTATCCAGAGTTCCATTAAAATAAAAATAATTAATAACTTTTTTAGGTTCCCCTTGTTCGGTTTTTTCAGGGCACTGGGCACGTTTGTGCCCAAGCTTCCTGCACTTGTGACATCTGACTGAAAAAAAAGAAAAAACAAAAATATATTAACAAGAGATATTTTTGGTAAGGAAAAAAAGGCATTTATGGATATTAGGGAGAAATGAACCCAAGAACCAAGAAAGTCTGAATTATCGGCAGCTGGCTGTAGTTAAATGCTAAGATGGAAATATAAAATATGCTGACTAGATCATCCACCCTAAACTCCAGATCCAGACACTACTTCCATGGTCCTGCAAAGTGTTCTCTCTTGTTGTATATTAGATTTTCTGTGACTTTCACATTTGAAACACAAATCAGCTACACTGTCCATTAGTGCTACTATAGTTTGTTGCTCATAACATTTTCTGACACAATAGATGGAACGCATTTACATTATTTCATAAGAAAGGAGTTATATAACCATCATTAACTAACCACAGTCTATAATCTACATCATTTTATTCTCTCTTACCTCTTTCATCATCTCTCTGGCTCCTTCTTTCATTTGCCCTTTGCCTGCCCACGCTGTGATATCTTCTTCCTCTTTCTCTTTCTCTCCTTCCATTTCCTCTCCACTCTTCTTCATCTTCTCTTCGTCTTCTCTCTTCTTCCCTCCTCCTTCTCCTCTTCTCCTCTCTTCTTCTCTTCTTCTCCTCTCTTCCTCCTCTTCTCTTCTCCTCCTCTCTCCTTCTTCTTCTTCTCTTGTCCTCTCTTCTCCTTCTAATCTTCTCCTCTCTTCTTCTTTTCTTCTCCTCCTCTCTTCCTCTTCTCGTCTTCTCCTCTCCCCTTCTTCTTCTTCTTCTCTTCTCCTCCTTTCTTCTTCCTGCCTTTGTTCTTCCCTGTCTAGCGCTATGGCTCGGTCGAGCCAGTCGCCATCGGCATCCATGGGTTCTGAAAAAGATATAGATAGATAATAGTCAATAGCTAGTCTAGTTCATTAAAGAAATAGAGGATACTGAATGGCCATGTGAAATACCAAACCATTTCACTTCAAAAATCTTTCAGAGGGATAGCTTAATAGAGGATTCACAGTATATAGCAGGCAGACCAAAGAGCACTAATCATTATGCCTCTCCTTTAATTTTGGAGACCAAAACTGGGACTTATCAGATGCTATTATGGGCAGTGCTCTTTGTCACTCTGAAGGTACTCTATTAAAATATAGTAGGGTGGGCTATGGTGGAAAACGGGCGAGCAACATTCTGGCACGGGGTTATATTATTGAACAGTGGAAGTTGACTATATCTCAACAGCTCTCATATGTTTTTCAGTTGAATGAAAATAGACTGTCAATTTTGTTGATGACTCATGGAGAAAGGTTAATTATTTTTTCCAAATGGCAGAAGTCCATCCGTTAACTGGTACCTTTCCTATCAGAAATTTTGTCATGGTGTTCATCACTCCCCGATCTAACCAGTTCTTTTACAATTTGTAGTTATATATATATATATATATATATATATATATATATATATATATATAACTACAAATATATAAATATAAATATATATATATATATATATATATATATATATATATATATATATTCTGATGTTTTGTTCAAGTCTGGCAAATATCGAAAATAATCACAGCATCCAACAAAAAAATCAAATCATTTGTCTATACCTGGCCTTTCACCATCTGCCGCTTGTTCCATTATGTTTGATCTAGACAGAAAGAAAATACAAAAGGTGTTAAGCCGCTTTTAAAATGGAATTGAATCACTAGAGGCAGTACATTGAACAGTGAGTGTATTTCCCCCACCATACTGTCTGATACTCTGTTAATCAGCTCGTTGTAAATAGCGCCTCAGCTGAATGAAATTGTTAAAAAAATAGAAGTTGACAAATTTCTATGATTTTCTATTTAAATCAAAACAAGACTGCTATCAATGAACAAATGAATTGAATAAAGCATATGAATTGTCATAACAGTCATAAGTTGCATTGATCAATAACCAAAGTGATGTAATTTGGCTGATGTATCAGTTGTTGTTAATAGCCTCTTGAAGCTCAAATTAAGATGTGAAATACACCCCATATTCTGGTTCTTTTACGCTTCTCCTGCGAAGTTCTGGAAGTTGGAAAATTTTGCCCCAATTTAGGCTGCCAGTTAGCCTGATTATAAACTTGTCGATGGAATAACTTAGCGAAACTGACACAGAACTGAGAGAAACTTAACTTATCCGGTGTAATATGCCCTTTCCGAGCTCGCATGCAGCTGATAGCTTACGTTACATCAGGCTGGTCACATGCAAAGTAAAAAAAACAAGAGAAGATTCTCTGGATTCTCTACAGATCGAAAGATGCCGTGGCAAAAGACTTCTATCAAAATGAGGCGATGTCTGATATGTTAACTTCTGAAACATTGGTGAACGGGAAAGGCCGGATCAAGAAGGTATAGCGGCTACGTATTACATTTTCAATATAAAACCATAAAAAAATCACGAATAAGACTAACTCCTTCATCCGATTGGCGATTGGGAATAAAACGTTTTTAAGTCTCGTACTTTTAAGCCTACCGCTCCGAAAATGCAAGTTTTGGACTTTGTGAACAGTCAGCGAGTCTAGCTAGTATGATCAGTAGTATCTGTGATCTGTGGGTATGTTAAAGATCCTCAAACGTAACAGATGAGACGAATTTCCAGAATTTCTGACATGTAGCCAAGGCAATACTCGAACTGATAACAACAGATGACTCACAGAAAAAAGAAAATACTCACTGAAAATTGGCGAACCAACTGAAACAAATCAGACAAATGCTCGACTTTTTGTAGGAATGCTGAGGAATGCCGTGTGATGGTATGATTTACCAGGTCAATTTCGACGCGAATTCAATGTGTAAATTTCGAGTTTTC